ACAGTAGATGGCAGTATTATGCCTGAGAATACTATCTGTAAAATCTTCTATGTAAACAAACCTTATCACTTGAGAAGGTAGGTGATGCGGACGTCGTGGAAGACATTTTGTCCCGTAACGCTCGCCGTACTGTTGGGGGGGAGAAGCGCTGTAGCTTTAAAGCCATATACCTGATTATTATCTTCATTTCTCTCACTAAAATGCTTTTTATTTTGTTTATTGTGTGGAAGAAGAGGCCATTCATAAATAACTGATGCATATGCAGGTGTCCAGGTATTTTGAGTGCAGAAGTCTAGGCATGTCTTGTATACAGAGAAGCATGGCAGCCAACAAATGGAATGTTGCAATACCTCTTTTGTGAGTCAAAGCATATACAGCAAAACAGCATAAAAGAGAAGTTTCAACGTCAGTGTTTTCAACAGCTTCGGATGCAAATAAGTTAGTCTGAAAACAGAGATAGCAAACAGCAGAATGCTTATGATCTAGCATAAAAGTTGCGAAGTAATTAACACCTTTGCCTGGTGTATGTGTTCTGACGTCAGTAGGTTCTTGTGGTGTTAGGAATTTATCAGCTCTTCAATCACAAGCCGGTAACAATAATTCAGGCCTGTTAATTCACCGCTTAAAAGACTAGACTTGCCCTTAGACAATGTCTACACATTTCGTTTAGTACAGCTTTCAGACAGTGGATGAACATTTAAACACTGGCTCCAGCAGAAGTTGATGTAAACAAAGAACGGTCTATTCTGTTGGATAAAATCCGTTTGTAAATTGATCTTTGTCTCCCTTGTGACTTTGGTGCAGAGAGAAGTTGGTTGAGCTGGAGATCCTTCACAGAGGATCAAAAAGCATAAACAGGAAGTAGAATTTGTGTTAAATTTACCTGGAACTTGTGCGTAACATTCTGTCCACATCTTGGATTTTTTTTTCTTTTTATCTAGAATTAAATTTGTATGAAAAGTTCTACTTTCTTTTAAGATGTGTTTCACTATTGGCTTCACTCTGACTTTTTTTCTTCCTCTTGAGGTTTTTATACTTCCTATTGCTTTAACACCCAGAGTTGGTGCTTTCTAGAGTGTCACTCTGTAGCAGGGACTGTGAAAAGCAAAACTACCCGGTGAGTAAATTTTTAAAGGCTTATAAAATGATCAATCATGAAAACTTTATTTTGTGTTATTTGATCCACAATTACATAATTCGCCCTCTCTTCTGCTGCTCATCCATCAAGTGGGCTGGTACCTATACCCAGCAGTGTATGGGCGAAAGGTGGATGCACCCTGGACAGGTCACCAGTGCACCACAGGGTGACACATAGATGCACAACTGTGCACACACATTAATTCAGATTGTAGACTATGGGAATTAGTCCAGTGTATGCTTGCTTTTTAACTGGCTTGCATTGTTTAACTAATATTAGCAACTTAAGAGCAGTTTGATCTTCTTGATAACCTGGACTGTATATTTTTTCCTTTTAAATGTCATCTATACATATTACTTTGAAGTGTATCTGAAATTATGAGATCAAACTGTGTAGTTTTGCAGCAATGTTTAAAAATATTAAGAGGATGTGGGTGATGTGAGAAAAGCTGCTGTTAAAAACTCAGAGGGAGGGTACCGGGTATCAGCTGCCAACTGAGCCGTTCATTTTCTTTTTAGCAGTGGAAAAAATGCATACCAAAGTAAAACTGCAGGTAAAACACTGGAAATGTTGAATGCTGTGTTTATTTTTCCTGGCAAACACGTGGGTTTAAGCTTCCAGTTGGGATGAAATGAATGATGATTTTTTTGTTTTTTTCAGAATAAACCAGAAGCTGTAAAACTATTCAAACATTTTTTAAATATAAATAAAAAAGCTAAAATTAAAACTCATATTCATCTTAATGATGGCGTTATTCAGTGTTAAACACTACATGAGTGGATTAGAATTATGCATAAATGCAGGGGTGGGTTTTTATTCTGATTACATAACAGAAGCAAGTGGAAGGGTAATGTTAATATGAACACTTTAAACAGTGAAAGCTAGCTGTAGGGTTGGGCGGCCATAGGTATGTTGAGGAGGACGTATGATGAGCTAGGCTTTCTGCTCAGCTGCTCCCAGGCTGTTGAATGCTCTCCCAGAACCACATGAGGACCCCACAGACTGGATGCTTTTGAATGTGGCCTTAAAACCCACCTTTTTAGGAGATGTTTAAATTGAAATCCTGCCCTTTGACCTATTGTCTTTGTTCATTTTATTTATTTTTTACTTCTTTCTTATTTTCGTGTGTTTTTATTTAGCACTTACCTGATTTAATATGTAGCACTTAAGGATTTGTATAAATATAAAGTGCATTACAAATGCAAAAGTTGGTGGGATGTTATTGGCATGTTGTTCAGGACGTCCACATACTGGGAAGGAAAAGTGATTCAAACGTGACTAACCATTGACACGCTTCCTATATTCATGCATGTACCAAGAAAGTTTTGCAATCTTTACATAATTTTCATGGCTTTTTTACATTAAAATATTTTAAAGGCACTGTGTTTGGACCCCCCCCAACAAAATTGTGGTTTATCAGATTAGAATGTACTGTGTCACAGATGCTAAATTAGAGGTTATACACAAATTGCCTGTGAGGGAATATAGGACACAACCAAATTGCATTTAGGACAAATGTTATTAAAGGTCAAAATACAGAACTTTGTGATCTGTATAAATACTCTGGGGTTCGTGATAGCTCAATGTACTTTAATGAAAAACAAATTGCATTTGCGCAGGTGGACTTTAAAAGAAGTAGTGGTGTTTAGGCCTGAAACAATTAATTGCATTAATCCATTATTGTAGAAAAAGGAGAATTCAACTTTATTGTCATTACACTGTCACAAGTACAAAGCAATGAAATTCACTCTCTGTGCATTTAACCCATCCCCTTGCAGAGCAGTGGGCTGCCATTGTGTGGCGCTCTGGGAGCAGTGTGGGGTTAAGGGTCTTGCTCAGGGACTCAGAGTGGCAGCTTCATCTGTAGACCAAAACTTATAACTCAGTTTCCTTTTTTCTGGGCATGGAGGGGCCAAACCGTAAGCTACTTACATTGACATACATGTATACTGAGCCAACCACAGCTTTTAAACTTGCAGCCGGAAGACAACACAGAGACATGGTGTGTGATGCCACACCTTATTCTTTTCTAAAATTATACTTATACTATACTTATGTAGTTTTAACATCACCTTTTTTTTTAGCTCTTTTTATCTGAAATAAAGAATTACTCCTTATTATTGCTTTATAAATACCAAGTTGAAGTAATAATAACTCCTAAATAGTAATGTTAAAATGTTGGATGCACCAAGTGATCCTAAACTGCATGTTATTGTGTGCATGTTAAAGCATCAATGAACTCATTAATACAGTATTTTATCATTAAAGTTCAACTATAATACCACCAAGAGTGTTTGTAATCATGTACCTCTCTTTGAAATATCAAAAGGGACCTAAAGTAACCTGTTATGAAGTCTATTGCATCCGGAAACCTCTACGGTTATATAACTGAAAAGGGGATTATTGTTTTGCGTGCAAATTTTGGGGCTGCTGACATTCAGGTGCATTCCTGATAATGTAGATAATGCTATATAGGCTAAAAGTACTTAATTTTGAATTTTAATGGATATAAATCTTCTTGCACGGCTGAATTTGAGGGTAAGCAACATCTGCATCTCAGTTTTCAACAACGGCTAAGAATACATGAGCTGTAAGTGAAAGTTTTCTTGTAGTTCGTTTCAAGCAAACCGCTCATCGCGTGACATATATTGAGTCATCACATTATCGTGGATGTTGGTATGCATAATAGAATGCATAATTAATAAAACCACAGCTATGTAGCAAGCACTCTAGTGTGTTGGCAACATGCATTACTGCATTAATGGGTTAATAAATGACATGATTGGAGGTAACTTTTTGAAAAATGCACAATCATTCTGGTAATCCCCCCAGTTATCTGAAAAGAAAAAAAAAATAATGAAAAAGTTAATGAGTGAATTGGTCTGGAAAGGGGAAGAGTTTCTGGAAGAGCAAAACAGAGATGTAACCACAGGTCACAACTCCGCAAGAGGAATTTTTAACGTGGGAGACTCGAGAGTGGCTGGGAGTACCGTCCAGGTTAATCATTCAGCATGAGACGATGGCTCTGTAGC